GGGGGGATAGTAGAGGATAGGAAAGGCAGCAGAACACAACAGACACTAGTATGGCAATATGTAAATCAATGGATGTGTAACTGATGTGATTCTGCAATCTGTATATGGGGTAAAAATGGGAGTTCATAACCCACTTGAATCAAAGTGTGAAATATGATATATCAAGAAACATGTAATGTTTTGAACAACCAACAATAAAAAAATTTTTAAAAAAAGATGTTTGTATTTATTTTTCTGTGAACTGCTTATTTATGACTGTTTTTCTTTTGTTGGATTTTTTTATTGGTTGTTCAAAACATTACAAAGCTCTTGACATATCATATTTCATACATTAGATTCAAGTGGGTTTTGTTGGATTTTTTTTACCTCCCATTTCCATGAATTCTTTATATTCCTATGAAATAAACCTTTGCCTATGAAAAAAAAAAGAATATGACCCAATTAAACCCCAATGTTTAGGACTGAAAGAAGAGAAAAAATCTGGAGAGGAAAGTGCTATCTATCTGTCAGAGAAGGAAGAGAATGGACAGGTGAGTTTATTTTGGTTCTACATGTATTCTTCATTGACGGCTTACTTTCTGCAGTACACTATACTGGGAGACTGGCTTTTGATGCTGTTACTCTTTCTCGATGTAACAGATAATCCAGTGTGGTCAGCTCAGCAACAGATATTCACTGAACAACCTAGACTGTGAGAGAAAACTTTCAAGAGATGATGACATTAAATCAGAGTCTTCAAGGATAGTAGAAATTATCCAGGTAAGGAAAGAGAGAGAAAAAGTCACACCAGGCCAAGGGTACCATCTGAACAACAGCAAAGGGGCATGGGGATCAAGAGAGGAATGAATATTTCCTAAAACTGTCAGCAGTGCTGAACGTGACTGAGAAATAAGATAACATCACATGGAAGAAGGCCCTTTCACTTTGACACTCAGGAAGTCACTCGTGACCTCTGCTACAGCAGCTTCTATGAAATGATGTGGATGGAAACCAGATAAGGGTGAGAAGAAGAGTGAGTGGAAGAATGCGAAGTTCAGACCACATTGGTAGGGTCATTTCTCAAGGAGCTTAGTGCAGAAGAATAAAGATGGAAAAGCTAGAAGTGGGTCAAACTCTAAAAGGCTTTGTTGTGTGATCAGAGAGAATGGAGGACATTTCCAAGTTGGGGGAAAAAAAGAGGAGAGGGCAGACAAAGGCTTAAAAAAGTAGGTTACTTTATCAGTCATTCACACAGCAAATATTTATAGAACCTCTACACTGTTCTTGAGCATATCACTCCAAGATAAAGACAATCAACCTCCCTTCCTGGTTTTAACATCATGTTTTTAAATAAACTGGAGAAACAATAGAAAGCCAACAGTAAATAGCAGAAAAATTACATATATCTCAATTCTGAAGTCAGCATAATAGTGATAAACATAAATACTTATAAAGGTGAATTCTGCTTTGTCACGTTTATATGAGCAATGCCACATTTTAATGTAAGTATTCAGTGTTGAGATTTATTTTGCTTGCTTGCTAAATAAAAACATTTATTCTCTTGCAAGGACTTCAGTATGGAACAGATGTGTCAAGCTTTATATCATGCAGTAATTAATTACAAGCACCTGAATGCGTATGAGTCTGCCAGATACAAAAACACAGTTCAAGAGATGTGGAATTGTATGCAATGGTTTAATTCTTGTATTAAAGTCTGCCTGAATTTCTCCTAGCATTCAGAGACAAAAAACTGAAAACTAAAACAGCTAAAATTGACAGAACACAAATGACCTCACAATAGAAAAGGCACTAGAAAGCATTTCATATAAAGAATAGTCTCTCATTTTTTTTTTTAGATTCAGTGAGTCGCAGAGTGTTAATATTGTAAAGAAACTTGACATTATCCGATACTTCTTTACACAGCCCACATATACAATTCTCTTCTTCACATTCCTACTCTGATATTGAGAGACCACTTTATATGAAAGAGAGCCTCCCAGTAGAGAAACTATTCATTCTACTACAATGCTATACATTGAAATTTGTCTCTGATTATTCCCCAAATATAACTTTCTGCAACTCTGCATTATAAGGGTACTTATTTTATATGCATCATCTCTTTAAGTACCAAAAGATGCTTTTGTTATATGTACCTTAGATACATTGTTTTTCACACTAACCACTCCTAGTTCCTCTGTCTCTTTCTTTATGATTTTTACCCTAGTCTTTTTCTTTTACATGATTTTTAGTAAGCTATTTTTTGTTTTGTTTGATTTTTGTTGTTATACTCTTCATTGAGCTAACCATGAATTTTCAAATGCAGAAAAATAAATATGCTATCATAGTATATGGTAACTATTCTTAAAGCAATCCCACCAATGATTTGCATTTGTACCATGGACAATTATAATACTCAGGATATAATGGCAAAAAGTACAACCAACCCAAGTTTGTCCTATTTCATTTCTGTATATATTTTTTAATTTAAATATAAAACTGTGAAGATGTCTGCATTTTTCTATCCTATTGTGTCCAAAATAATCCAGGATCATTTTGAATGATAATTTAGCAAATCACTATACATTTTATCCCTCCAAGATTTTGATCTCTTACAAATCTGATGAGTATGTTATCTAAGTCTTCATATAAGTCTCTGGTAAAAGTAAAGAGAATAGGTACAAAGGGAGAACTTCCTAGTTATACAGACAGAAACCTTATTCCAGATTGATATTAATGCATATACTATAATTTTCTAGTAGTTATTTGTTTAGCTATGAATCTAGTCAGTTTCTATTCCTTTCCTTTACACACTGTTATTATTAGAAACCATCGAAAATATTTACCTATAATTAAGACAAAATATCCCTTTGGAAACCCACTAATTCTTTAAAAAAGAAAAAAAAGGTGAATATATGTTGCTTATTTAATGGTAAATATTTTCTCTTCTAGGATTCTAAAATCAGTATCAGCTTGATAATATTCTCTAAAAATCTATTAAAGATAGACATTAAATTTGTTCTTGTACATTCTCTGGAATTCAATTTATACTGATTGTTCTACACTATAAATGAAATAGCTGGCTATTATTTCCTACAAATTACCTTCTCTTCTGCAATCATATTTTTAACTGGAAGAAGATATAAAAATGTTCCCTGTCTCTATACACATTTTACTGTTCCTACTCAGGACTACTACTCAAAAATTTCATTAAAATATGTACCACCTATATGTGAAATAACATTTATTTTATTACCTCATATAAAACTGTTGTGTTCCCATGTAGGAGAGGTCCATAACAGATATAAGAATGTCCAACAACCCAGCCTAAGTCAGAAGCTGCCCACCACACCTGAAAAATAAGAAAATGATAAAAATGAACATGGCTTTATCAGAAATGTCATATAGCCTACACTTAAAACCATGATTACCTCTCCAGGTTTAAGGCCATATATTGAAGACATTGTCCAATTTAGCATTACCGCATAGCCCCCAGTGGGCCTCACCACACCCTAAAGGAGAGAAAGAGTGAAGTTAAAGTCAGTGGGATGATATGTTAAAAATTTCTCTATCTTCATGCTCTCTACTTTAAAAATTCCAGATTTAAAGTATTGGATATTCTGTAGAGTACATATTACTTCAACTTTTATATAACTATATTTGAATCACTATTTCTGTGGCTTCTCCCACAGAAAAATTGTTCTAATAAACCCAGAACAATTTGTCCTCATCAGTTCCATTTGTGGAATCCATCCTTGCATGACATTATTACTCTTCTAAAGAAGACTTACGATTTCACAATATCACATAAAATATTTTCAGTGATGTTACCCATTATAAGCATTACATTTTCAAATGCAGTTCCTGAACAAAAATGGAAAATAACAAAATTAAGTGCAGGAAAAACTTCAAATGTAGTTACATGCCTAAAATACAGACTAACATAAGGACATCTATTCCTCAAGATAATTAAACAAAACTGGGTTGCTTAGAGGAAACAAAGTCATATTCCAACTGGAGCCCAATTCCAATGCTAAAGAGGAATCCTGTATATATCATGTTAGAGTTTACCAATTCTTTGGCGGTTGATTCTGAATTCCTGAGGATTGAAACCTGAGGAGCTGGACTTAAAGCTAACAGATTTTATTTATACTGCAATTGGGACAAAACCAGGGATCATTACATCACTATCACACCACTTTCATAAATCAACTTTCAGTGGATTTCCTCAAAACTGTGAACATATTCAACTTTAATAGAAATCTAATATTTGAACAGTGGGCATAAGGGTCATCATAAATAAGAACTGATGGCAAATTTAATAATTAATTAATTTTATTTATTGCTTCATTATAAACATTAATCATTAGTCCAGTAAGACATAACCAAGTTTTTTATCCAGAATAAGTAAGTGAATGCCTGTTAAGTACAAGTCATATTATATTCAAATGCATTTGAAGCATCTTTTAGTAATTACAACTGCTCTATGAAAAAGAAAATTATTTTACATAAAAGAGTAAGCATGGCTTTAATCAATAAATGTGCTGTTAATTATAATTTTTTGGCCTAACTTTGCATTTTTAACCCATTTACATGGACCAGGGGAATGAAAAATAGATTGATTTTTTCCATTAGTTGCTAAAATCACTGCTCTCCTCAGGTACCACTAATAAAACAGGTATCAAGCTGTGGAACATATTTTATCTACTAGCAACAACACCTGGTCTCTTGGTAAATACCAGGTGAAGCTTTGGTGGCATTTGAGAGCTATTTTCTAGGTTGTATGATACGGTTAGCAGGCAGCTGGATCTCTTGATCATCTTGAGAATATAAGAAATCTCAGGCCCCCTGCCAGCAAACTTCACACATGCATTTTGCTATGTCAACTGAGAAGCTATTTCCCTGTATAGTCTATCCTATCTTCCACACACTTTGCTAACTAGTTTATTGTAATAAGGTCTCTTTTCCTATGGCTCAATAACTTAATGAATTTGACATTAATCAGTTTGCAAATCCTCTTTTCTAAAAACACTCACTCATTTTTCCAAGGAGAAAAAGTACAATTTTTTTTTTGTAGACAATAAATTGTCTATATGCTATGGTAGACAGCAATATTTATTGTCAATAATATTTCACTGGATACATTTTAGACTTTTCTCTCCAGCCTATTTTAAACTCATTTTTGTCAACAATTATTATAATGGAGTAAATAAATTTTTAGATTATGTGGTACAGAGAGTAAGATGCATCAATCTGGAAATGATGAAAAGGAATAAACTCCACCAGAAAACTTATAGAATTAATAAACAAATTCAACAAAGTAGCAGTATAGAAAATCAATACCCATAAATCAAATGCATTTCTATACATCAGTGATGAATCCTCTGAAACTGGGAATCAAAGTAACAAAAGAGGTGAAAGACCTCTACAATGAAAACTACAGAACACTAAAGAAAGAAAGTGAAGAAGACCTTAGAAGGTGGAAAGATCTCCCATATTCTTGAATAGGAACAACTAATATTGTCAAAATGGACATACTACCCAAAGCTCTATACAGATTCAATGCCAATTAAAATCCCCACGATGTTCCTTATAGAAATAGAAAAAGCAATCATGAAATTCTTTTGGAAAAATAAGAGACCCAGAATAGCCAAAGCAATCCTTAGCAAGAAGAGTAAAGCAGGAGGCATCACAATACACAACCTTAAATTATAAACACAAAACTATAGTAACAAAAATCACATGATATTGGCATCACAATAGACATTTAGACCAATGGTACAGAATAGAAGGCACAGAGACAAACTCACATAAATACAGTTATCATACTAGACAAAGGCACCAAAAACATACAGTGGAGAAAAGATAGCCTCTTCAAAAAATGGTGCTGGAAGAACTGGAGATCCGTATGCAGCAAAATGAGAATAAATCCTTATCTGTCACCTTGCACAAAATTTTAAGTGGATCAAGACACCACTTTAAATTTAAATTTAAAGTGGACCAGACACCTTGTGCCTAATAGAGGAAAAAGTAGGCCCAAATCTTTATCATGTCAGCTTAGGCCCCGACTTCCTTAATAAGACTCCTAATGTGCAAGACATAAAATCAAGAATTAATAAATGGGATGGACTCAAACTAAAAAGCTTCTTCTCAGCAAAAGAAAAAATTGGTGAAGTGAACAGACAGCCTACATTTTGGGAGCAAATTTTTGCCACACGCACATCAGATAGAGCACTAATCTTCAGAATATAAAGAACTCAAAAAACTTAACACCAAGGAAAACAAACAACCCAATTCATAAATGGGCCAAGGAACTGAGGAGACACTTCTCAGAAGAATTATACATTCAATCAACAAATATATGAAAAACTATCAACATCTCTAGTAATTGGAGAAATGCAGATCAAAACTACTCTGAGATTTCATCTCATTCCAGTCAGAATGGCAGTTATCAAGAATACAGACAACAATAAATGTTGGTGAGGATGTGGCAGAAAGGGGACATTCATACATTGCTGGTGGGACTACAAACTGGTGGAACAACTCTGGAAAGCAGTTTAGAGATTCTTTAGAAAACTTGGAATGGGACCAACATGTGACCCAGCTATCCCACTTCTCCATCTATACCCAAAGGACTTAAATGAGCATACTATAGTAATGCAGCCACATCAATGTTCATAGCAGCTCAATTCACAATAGCTGAACTATGGAACCAACCTAGATGCCCTTTAGTAGATGAATGGATAAAGAAACTGTGTTATGTATATACAATGAAATATTACTCAGCATTAAAAGAGAATAAAATCATGGTGTTTGCAGGTAAATGGATGAGAGAATATCAAGCTAAGTGAAGTAAGCCAATCCCCCAAAACCAAAGGCTGAATGTATTCTCTGATAAGTGGATGTTGATCCATAATAGGGAGGGGATGGGCATGGGAAAAATGAAGGGACTTTAATTGGGCAAAGAGGAGGGGAAAGGGGTAAGATATGGGAGCAGAAAAGATGGTGGAATAAGATGGATATTATTACCCTAGGTACATGTATGAGTGCACATATGGTGTGATGCTACATCATGTACAATCAGAGAAATATAAAGTTGTGCTGCAATTGTGTACAATGAATCAAAATGCATTCTGCTGTCATATATAGCTAATTAAAATAAATAAACTAATTTTTAAAAAAGACTAGATACACCCAACAGAGTAGTAATTCAATTCTAAAACCCAGATGATAAATTTTAAAGGATTAACAAATTTCTATTATCTTTCAAATGGGTAGTTTTTCAAATGATGTTCAGGAATGTTGCTTTATAAATTCGTGGATATTTAAACCCAGCTGACCACAAAAAATAAAAAGTGAGACTTAATGAGACCATGTATGAAAAATCATTTAAAGCTATAAAGGTTAAAATTTTAAATCTTTGGGTTTGTTTGTTTTGTTTTGTTTAAGGGCTGGAGATCAAGTCCAGGGACTAACACATGCTAAGTATGCATTCTGCCATTGAATTATATGACCAGCCTAAAATTTAATATATTTTAGACAATATTATTCCTTCTAGAAATTGTTGCTTTTTATTTTACCCTGTTCTGGCATTACTCAAAAAGGAAAACTGCCAAAATAATTAGAGGCCACCTATCGACCATGTCCCACACAGGCAAGGTAATGGGTTTCCCTTCGGAGGAATGGGCTGGCTGAGAAATAAAAACTAAGGAAAATAGTATGGCAAAAAAAACCACAGAACACAAGTATTTTCAAAGAGGGGACAGAGATGTGCAAAGCTGATCAGACAGGTCCAGCTTCTAACAAAGAAAGGAGCCTGCGTTTGCTTTATTTAGAAATTACAGAAAGTTCTTCACTAAAATAGGTTAGAGGTAGGGGCAGGTAGGCTACTCAGTTCCTAAAGGTTATGCCCATCACTGGTGCTGCACCGGACCTTCTAGCAAAACTGAGGGAAGTTCATGTGCATTGGGCAATCTATCCAGGGGGACTGCCATGGGAAATTTCCAATGCCAGATCTACCCCTTCCTTGGATGCAATGCTGAAAAAGGTTTTCACGCATTTCAGGGATGGCTTTCCACAGTCACCATCAAAATCCCCTTTAAAACAATAAAATGGAGCTGAAAGAGAGATAAAAACCATAACTTCTGTTTTCATTGATTTTTAATACTCACTTTTTTAAGAAAAATGAGTATGAATATTTTAGTCAGGTATCATTTTGCCATTCATTAATCTAACCTTTAGATCTATAATTTGGTCTAAAGCCTCCCAAAATATTAAGATTATACAGTTTTCAAATTTCTGATTATTTATATGATATAGAAAAAAAAGAACTACACAGTTTCATATTCTCCATACAGACAGTTTATGAGAGGTTGGAAGGTAAAACATGTGAAAGGTTATGTTTAAAAGGAGATTCTTCATTATGTATGTTAGTTTGTGAATAAAATAAGATGAAAAGGCATTTCTGTTTCTTGTTTGTGGTCATGTGTTCCAAGTAATGATAATTACAATA